ACCCTGACTGCCCCCTGCCGCCCCACTCCAACCCCCCCCCCTTCCTGACTGTGTGTCTCTCCCCCCGGACCCCTAGCCCCATTCAACCCCCTGCTGCCCCCATGACCGCCCCGACCTGTATCCCCACCCACCACCCTGAATTCTCCTGCCCTCTATCCAACCCTCCCTGCCCCCTTACCATGCTGCCTGGAGCACCGGTGGCTGGCGGCACTACAGCCGCACCGTCCGGCTAGAGCTGGGCCACACCGCCACCGTGCAGCATAGAGACCGGGTCAGGCCTGGCTCTGCAGCTGCGCTGCCACAGGAGCTCACAGCCCCGCCGCCCAGAGCATTGCGTCGGTGGCAGAGCGAGTGAGCTGAGGCTGCAGGGGAGGGGGAACTGCGGGGGAGAGGCCGGGGCTAGCCTCCCGGGCCAGGAGCTCGGGGGCTGGGCAGGACGGTCCCGTGGGCTGGATGTACCCCGTGGGCCATAATTTGCCCACCTCTGCATTAAAGTAAAGAGGCAAGAACTGATACTTCAGAGAATAAAACCATACCCTAGCCTGGCAACGTTGCATTATAGAATACTGGGTTGTCTGAATTGTATGTGTTGATACATGGATGACATCTTGTTGTGTTGGTTAGGTATCTAACAATAGCATGTTAGACATAATTCCTGGCTTTTGTTGGGACTTTAATATTCACCAGTTTGACTACTAAGAATGAAATATGAATTCTGAAGCATGGAAATATTGCACTCCAGTGTCTTTATGCAGTGTCGCACTTTAGGAAAAACATTAATTTGTGCACAAAAATAATAAATCTGTTTAATCAAGCTGCATTTTGTGTATAAACTGTATTTTTGCTTTATGTAATATGACTATAGGGAAGAAAGATGGTCCGCTGGTTAGGGTACTGACTAGGACTTGAGAGCTTTGGGGCCAAGTACCACAGACTCCTTATGTGACCCTGGGCAAGTCACTTTGTCCCTCTGTGCCTTAGTTTCCCCATCAGTAAAATGGGGATAATAGCACTTCCTGCCTCATGGGGTGTTGAGGGTTAATATTCTAAAGATTGAGGTGCTTGGATATTACGGCAATGGGAACCATTAAAAGATAGATTAAAAACAGCTCACACTTGATGCAGCACATGATTGAACATAAAAAAGGCCATACTGGGTCAGACCAATGGTGCATCTAGCCCAGTATTCTGTCTTCCGATAGTGGCCAATGCCAGGTGCTTCAGAGGGAAGGAACAGAACAGTGATCAAGTGATCCATCCCTTGTCGCCCATTCCCAACTTCTGGCAAATAAAGGCTTCAGAGCATGGTTTTGCATCCCTGGCCATCCTGGCTAATAGCAATTGATGAACCTATCCTCCGTGAACTTATCTAGTTCTTTTTTGAACCCTGTTATAGTCTTCGCCTTCACAACATCCTCTGGCAAAGAGCTCCACAGGTTGACTGTGTTTGGTGAAGAAATATTTCCTTTTGTTTGTTCTATATCTGCTGCCTGATAATTTCATTTGGTGACCCCCAGTTCTTGTGTTATGAGAAGGAGTAAATAACGCTTCTTCCTTATTTACTTTGTCCCCACTAGTCATGATTTTATTGACCTCTATCATATCCCCTCTTATTCGTCTTTTTTCCAAGATGAAAAGTCCCAGTTTTATTAATCTCTCCTCATATGGCAGCTGTTCCATACCCTTAATAATTTTTGTTGCCCTTTTCTGTACCTTTTCTAACTCCAATATATCTAGTTTGAGATGGGGTGACCAGTTCTGCACACAATATTCAAGATGTGTGCGTACCATGGATTTATATAGAGGCAATGTGATATTTTCTGTCTTATTACCTATCCCTTTCCTAATGATTCCCAACATTCTGTTCACTTTTTTGACTGTTGCTGCACATTGAGTGGATGTTTTCAGAGAATTATCCACAATGACTCCAAGATCTATTTCATGGGTGGTTAATTTAGACCCCATCATTTTATACGTATAATTGGGATTATGTTTTCCAATGTGCATTACTTTGCATTTATCATCCTTGAATTTCATCTGCCGTTTTGTTGCCCAGTCACTTACAGCTTTAAGTGCTGTTCTTCAAAAGTGATCCTGACTCAAAACCTTTATGTGGTCAGACTATTTAGGCAATGAGACTCTGAACATCTGACCCTGAGGGGCATTGTTTCTCAGTTGTATTTTCATTCAAGCGAAAGTTGGGTGGAAGTACAGAAAACACTGAACTTCCATTGTCTAAAATGCTTCGTGGTGAGAATGTTACCACCACTGTATGGTGCTGCTGTTGAAGTATGAGGCAGTGAACATCATTCACTATCAAACAGTTGACAGATGTTTGGTGTCCAGATGATTTCTTTTAGTGGGATCCTTGACTTAATATATTTAAGTGAGCCTATA